AAAAAAAAAAAGAGAGAGAGAGAGAGAGAGAGAGAGAGAGAGAGAGAGAGAGAGAGAGAGAGAGAAAGAAAGAAAATTGGGCATGGTGGTATGTGCTTAAAATCCCAGTAGGGAGGCGGAAATGGGCAGTTCCCTGGGGCCTGTTGGCCAGCCAGCCTAGGCTAATTGGTGAGCCTCAGGCCAGTGAGAGACCCTATCTCAGAAAAAAACAAAAGAAGGTGGGCAGCTCCTGGGGAGCAATAGCTGAGGTTGTCCTCTGGCTTACACATGCCCACATATGCACAAAAGAATATTTTTAAAAGTTTTTGCTCTTTTTGAGACAGGGTCTCCCATAGCCCCAGCTGGCCTGGAACTTACTATGTAGACCAGGCTAGCCTTGAACTCATAGAAATTCACCTGCCTTTGCCTCCCAAGTGCTGGAATTAAAGACATGTGCCACCATACCTGGCTAAGAGTAATATTATAAAGATAGATAATATCCGTGTATTTCTGTAATCCCAGCACTTTGGTAGGTTGAGCTGAAAGGATTGCTGGTTGAAATTCAGCCTGAGCTACACTTTGTGAAACTGTCCTAAAAAAGAAAATCAAGCACTGAATGGCTGGGCATATAGTTCAGTTTGTATAGTGTGTTGGCCTAGCATGGACTGGATTTGATCCCCAGTATCACGAAAACTGGTTATTATGGTGGATGCCTGCCTGGGATACTAGCATTCAGAAAGTGGAGGTAGGAGGAACAAGTTCATGCTCATCCTCAGGTATGTAGGGAGTTTGAGGCCAACCTGAGCTCTATGGGACCCTGTCTCAAAACAAGCAGAGGCTCTGGGAATGTAGCCTAGTAGAGAATACTAGTCCAGCATATGCAAGGCCCTCGGTTTAATGCTCAGTCTTCTAACCTCCAAACAAGAGACTGAAAATATTTGTCAGTCAGAAAGATAACTGAAAAACCAAGTTCTAAAATTATTGGCAAATATGTTACTGTTTTATTCATAGAAGAGAATATATATGAGAGGGAATAAAAAATTAAAGATACACTAAATTGTATTTTTCAGATCTAGAAGTTTGAATGACTCTGCTTTTTAAAAAATATCTATACATTTATTAAAAATGGAAAAAATGGGGGCTGGAGAAATGCCTCAGCGGTTAAGAACACTGGTTGTTCTTGCAAAAGACCCAGGTTCGAGTCCCAGCACCCACATGGTAGCTAACAACTGTCCGTAACTACGGTCCCAGGGGATCCAGCAGCCTCTTCTGACCTCCGAGGACATTGCATGACACAGGTGCACTTACCTACATGCAGGCAATAATACATGCATACATATAAAATAAAACAAAAAAAATTTAAAAAAAGAAAGGAAAGAAAAAAAAAGAAAGAAAGAAAGAGTGGAGCTAGAGAGATGGCTCAGTGGTTAAGAGCACTGGCTGCTTTTGTAGAGGACCCCGATTTGATTCCTAGCACCCACATGGCAGCTAACAACTATCCGTAACTCCAGTTCCAGTTCCAGGGGATCCAACACTCTCTTCTAGCCTCTGTGGGCATTGCATGACACAGGTGCACTTATATTACATTCAGGCAAAACACTCATACACATAATAAAACGAATTTTTTTTTTTTTTGGTCTTTTTGAGACAGGGTCTCCCTGTAGCCCCAGCTGTCCTGGAACTTACTATATAGATCAGGCTGGCCTAGAACTCACAAAGACCTGCCTGCCCCTGCCTCCTAAATGCTGGGATTAAAGGTGTATGCCACTACGCCTGGCACTAATTAAAAATGAAAAAAATAGGAAAACTTATTTCCTAGAAAAGTGCGTAGCCTCTATTCTTCAATATTTCAGATTTAATGTAGTCTCCTAATCCAATCTAGTCTTCTTGTAATCTATCAGTAATTTAATTTGTTGAGAAAATGTGCCCCAATAATCTTGTGTTACTGGGTTTGATCCCTAACACTGAAAAATAGAATAAGAAAAATTCTGACTGCTGTCACTACAATGTTTCAGAAAAGACAGCTTTTGTGACTGTTGTTTGTATCAAAAAGAATTGGGACAGGTACAACAAATGATTTAAAAGATGATGCTGTTTGAAGAAAAACAAAAGCAAAAATCAAGCTGGATAATGTGGTGTAGGCTGAGGCAGGAGGATTGTCACAAATTCAAGGCCAGCCTGATCTACAGTGAGACCATCTCAAAAGCTCCTTTTCCCCCAAGAAAGCTAAACTTGGTCATCTGAAAATGAAACTTCATCAATAAAGTAATATATAAATAACATTTGCAGTGTTATTCATACAATTTTGACCTTCTAGAACTACAGCATAGCTCTTAGAAGAATTTAGGAAATGTAAAAGTATTGTTTTTTTGAATGAGGACATGAAACACTAAATAGTTTCTATACCTGAGTGTCTACAGTGGGAAATTAGGGGACCACTTAGAAGGTAAAGGTCAATTAAAATTTTGGAAAGTTCAAAACATAATTTTTGCTGGATATGGTGATGCATATTGTAACCCTAACACTTAGGAGGTAGAGAAGTGGAGGCCAGGAATTCAGGGTTATCCTTTGCTACATACCACAGTATATAATCCATTGGTTTTTAGTTTATTCAGAGGGCTGTGCACCCATCACAGTAAGACCTAAAATAAGCTCTGTGTTTATTTGCAGTTGCTCCTCATTCCCTTTTCTACTCCAGTACTTAAGCAGCTACTGATAGTTTTCTCTCTATATAAATGAAATCATGCAATTTGTGATCTTTTGTAATTAGATTTTTTTCACTTAGTATAATAATTTATATTTTGATTGTTTTTGAGACAGTTTCATTTTATAATCCAGAGTAGCCCCAAACTTACTGTGTTGCTTAGACTGGCCTCCTCAAACTTAAAATCCTTCTGCTTTGCCCTCCTAAGTGTGAGGATTAACACATAGGAATCAGCAGGCCTGTCTGTGTGCTAAGTACTGTGCCACTGAGCAACATTCTAAGCCCAGCATATTTCCTGGATTGAGATAGAAACATTTCATTCCTTTTTGTCATTTGTGGTATGTGCCACTGTGCGGTTATGTCATGTTATTTATCCAGTTATCAGTTGATGGCTATTTACTTTCACTATTTATCTAGTATAAACGATTCTATGAACATTTTTATATGAGTTTCTTGAGTTTTTGTGTGGTTATATAATTTTTTTGAACATACCTCTAGGAGTGGAATTATCTGGTAACATTTTGAGAAACCACCAAACTGTTGTTTTCTAAAGCAGTCATATCATTTTGTGTTCCCAACAACAGTGAGTGCAGGCATGATTTCTAGATGCATTTTCTGTCTTCTCTCTCTCTTTGTAGAAGAAGGGATATTTATCTTGTGTCTTTATGTTGTTAATTTGATTAGACTATTGACTTCGGGTTTTAAAAATATTAAAATTTAAAAAATTTTCTTCCTTTAGGTCTGTCATCTGATACCAAGCCTATGGTATGAAATCTTTTTATTTTATTTTTTTTATTTCTTGCAAAGCTAGAGACTCTCCTCAGATCAGTGGGAACTCAAGTCATAAGTTTGGTAACTGTTTTTAGTATAGGATGTCCTGAATTTTAAGTGTTTGAGGTCTGGAGAGGTTAGAAAAATTGTCACATCTTCAAATTATTGTAGATACCTTTCCTACCACTAATCATTTTGAAAGGATGGGTAGATTTTAGTAAGGAAAATCCCTTTCTCTACTATCCTGGAGTTTTAGGCCTTCTCCAATGACTTCTGATAATGTCTAGTTCTTTTTTTTTTTTTAATATTTTATTTATTTATTTTTTATGTGTACAAGTGTATTGCCTGCATGTATGTGAGTGCACCTGTGTCATGCAATGCCGCAGAGGTCAGAAGAGGGCTTCAGATTCTCCTGGAACTGGCGTTAAGGACAGTTTGTAGCTGCCATGTGGGTGCTAGGAATCGAAATGGGCTGGAGAGATGGCTCATCAGTTAAGAGCACTGTCTGCTCTTGCAGAGGACCCAGGTTCGATTCCCAGCATTGCATGGTGGCTAACAACTGTCTATAAGTCCAGTTCCAGGGGAATCCTACACCCTCTTCTGACCTCCGTGAGCACTACAAGACACAGGTGCACTTTCATACATGCAGGCAATAGACTCATAAAAAATAAAATAATGAGCTGGGTGTGGTGGCACACACCTGTAATCCCAGCACTTGGGAGGCAGAGGCAGGCTCTGTGAGTCAAGGCCAGCCTGGTCTCCAGAGTGAGTCCAGGCCAGCTGTGACTACAGCGAGACCCTGTCTCAAAAAGACCAATAAATAAATAAATGAATAAATGAATAACTAACTAAATAAATATAATGGAAAAATATATATTTGTTATTGGTGAGGGGAAATGCCATATCACATGGGTGAAAATCAGAGGACGACTTTGTAGAGTTACTTCTTCCACCTTTGTGTGGGTTCTGGGGATTAAACTGATAGGGTTGTGGTACCGAAGCCTTTACCTGCTGAGCCATCTTACTGGCCTCAGTATCTAATTCTTTTTTTTTATTTTGGTCTTTAGATGAGACAAGGTCTCCCTGTTACCCCAGCTGTCCTGGAACTTGCTATGTAGGCCAGGCTAGCCTCAAACTCACAGAGATCCATCTGCCTCTGGCTCCCAAGTGCTGGGATTAAAGGCATGTACCACCATGCTTGGCCGGTTTAATTTTTTGAGACAGCCTTATATATATATTTGGCCAGTCTACAACTTTCTTTTAGCTGAGGATGGCCTTGAACTTTCTGATTCCTCTTGCCTTCACCTCTAGAGTGCTAGGAATCACACCAGCATTCTACTACCTCAGCTTGTTACTTTTTAGTACTACCTATTAAATATAGTATAAAAGAGTGAAAAATGGTAGAATAAGAATGGTTGTCTGGGCCATTTGACTAGTCAGCATATTTAGAAAATGGAAGCATGGGGCTGGAGAGGCAGCTTAGCAGTTAAGCACACTGGCTACCCCTGCAGAGGACTTGGGTTTCCCAGCACCCACATGGCAGCTAACAACTGTCTGTAACTCCAGTTCTAGGGGATTCAACACTTTCTGCTAACCTCTGTGGGCATTGCATGACACAGGTGCTTATTTATTTTTTGAGACAGGGTCTCCCTGTAACTCTAGCTGACCTGGAACTTGCTGTGTAGACCAGACTGGCCTTGAACTCATATAGATCTGCCTGCCTCTGCCTCCCGAGTGCTGGGATTAAAGGCATGTACCATCATGCCAGGTAGACATAAATTTTTTTAAAAAATTAATTAAAAAAGAAAATGGAAACTTCCTGATGAAATATATTCAGCTGGGTAAAATCCTGCTAGATTTAGTTTTATAACTGAAATAGAAATACTTTATTTCTTTTGTGATTATTAGTTAATGTGTTCTAAATTACTGTACCAAGACTTCCAAGAAAAGAAAGAGGATTGAGTTGGGCAGTATCGTTTGTCTTCTGAAGTGAGAGTGTTATAATTTTAGTTTGTCTCTGCTTGAAGATAGATTAGGAGTTAATTATGAGGTAATTATATGTCTGTGTGTATGTGTGTGTGTGTGTGTGTGTGTGTGTGTGTGTATATATATATATATAAAATATATGGTTACTTTTCAAGTGGTATGTTTGATGTCAAATAGGCTAATTTAAACAATAGTTTCTGCCTTCTGTGATTTTTTTTTTTAATGTATCTCTATTTTTGTAGGTTAACCTGGATAAACTAAAGGAAAGAGCACAAAGATTTGGTTTGAATGTCTCTTCAATCTCTAGAAAGGTAATATAGATTGGTTATTAGTGCTGTTTTGGGAATATTAGAAGAGTTTAGGAGGCTTGTGCAGATTGGAAAATACTCTCTTGAAAGTGTTGCTGGCTTTTTAGCACTTTATTTTGTCAAGTCATTTGAATATCATCATCTTCTCACTGATTACATTATATAAACTGTATAACAAAATAATTTTATGGTATAAATTGTTTTTTTACCTTTCACCCAGACATTAAAATGTGGTCCAAGTTTCTCAGTCAAGATGTTGAATATAAGCTGGGCATGGTGGCGCACATCTTTAATCCCAGCACTTGGGAGGTGGAGGTATGCAGATCTTCATGAGTTCGAGGCCAGCCTGGTCTACATAGTGAGTTCCAGGACAGCTGGGGCTACAGGGAGACCCTGTCTCGAAAAGACAAAAAAAAAAAAAAAAAAAAGGGATGTTGAATATAGGGGGCTGGAGAGATGGCTCAGTGGTTAAGAGCACTGACTGTTCTTGTAGAGGACCTGGATTTGATTCCCAGCATGCACATGGTAGCTACAAACCATGCTTATCTCCAGTTCCAGGGGAATCCGAAGTCCTCTTCTGATCTCCTCAGGCAATGCCTGACATGGGTGCACTTACATACATGCAGACAATACACTCATACACATAAAATAAAAATTAAACTGATTTAAATAATTTAAAACAAAAAGATGTTGACGATAGTGGAGCCACCCCTTTAATCTCAGCACTTGGGAGGCAGAGGCAGATGAGTCTGTGAGTTCAAGGCCAATCTGGTCTGGTCTTCATAGAGAATTGTAGGCCAGCCAGGGCTACATAGTGAGACCCTGTTTTTTTAAAAAAAAAAAATGTTTGAGGAGTGCTGCTAGGCAAGCATGAGGACTGGAGTTCAGATCTCTAAAACCTACATAAATGGTGGGTGGGTGTGGCAGCCTCCAGGTAATTCCACAGCCAGAAGGTAGAGATAGGGAATCCCACTGTCTGTAACTCCAGTCCAAGGGGATCTGACAGCCTCTTCTGACCTCCGTGGGCACTGCACGACATGAGTGCTCTACCTGCATGCAGGCAATACATGCATACACATAAAATAATAAATAATTTTTTTAAAAAAGTTAAAAAAAAACTACTTGCTTTATTCTGATAGAGGCATAATGGAAATTAAAAGAGAAAACATGTCAAAAGTACCTAGCAGAGGGTGGAGGATCCCCTGGAGCTGGAGTCATAGACAGTTGTTAGCTGCCATGTGCATGCTGAGACCCAAACTCCAGCCAGTGCTCTAAACCACCCCTTGTTGTAATTTCTGATGGGTTATAATCTGATCATGGTAGTTGACAGAACCCTCTGTGCTGCTTTCTCTAATAGCATTTGTTTTCTTTATGTAGTATATTTTATTTGCATATGCATGTGTGCTACTGTAGTACTTCTCAGATGATTGTTAAAAAAAAAAATTTCAGAAAACTAGTTTTCAAGTTTCTAAGGGCAGCAAGATGGCTCAGCAGGTGAAGGCGCTTATTGAGCAAGGAAAAAGATGTCCTGTGTAAGTAGGTATGTGTGTGCGTGTGGAGATCAGAAGCCAGTTTATGGGGAATTGGTTTTCCCTTTTCCATCATGTGGATTCCAGGGATCAAACTCAGAGTGTCAGGCTTGGTGCTTTTACTCACTGAGCCATCTTGTTGGCTCCTATTTTTGTGGGTTTTTTTTTTTTGGTCTTTTTGAGACAGGGTCTCCCTGTAGCCCAAGCTGCCCTGGAACTCCCTATGTAGACCAGGCTGCCTTGTTGCATATGTGTATGCATGTTTGCATGTGTATGGATACACATGTATGTGGTTGTGTGTGCATGTGCTGCATGTGTTGAAATCCAGTGTCTTCCTCCATTACTCTCTGCTTTATTTATTGAGGCAGACTTCCTGAACCCAGAGCTTGCTGACTCTATGCTAGTCTAGCTAGCTGGCTTGCCCTAGGGATCCTGCCTCACCTCCAGAGCAACAGGATTACAGGAGACTGCCACACCCACTTGGCTTCTGTGTGGGTCCTGGGGATCCAAACTTAGGTCCTCACACTTATGTGACAAGTGCTTTATTCACTGAGCCATATCCCCAGCCCCACATTCAATGTCACCACGTCCAGCTAGAGTTAATTTTAATACTTGTAGAAAATAGAAACATTTTCAGAGTTGATCTGGAAGGAGAGAGTTGGAGGAAAGAAGGGGGGGGGGAAACTTTTTTTTTAAAGCAACTTTTTTCTTACAGAATATATATATATTTTTTTAATGTCTATGAGTGTCTTGCCTGCATGTATATAAGTGTACCCATGTTGGCCAATGACCATGGAGACCAGAAGAGGGTGTCTGATCCCCAAAAACTGGTTTTTGGGGCCATTGTTAGGTACCATGTAAGTACTGGGAACGGAACCCAGATCCTCTACAAGTGCAGTCAGTGCTCTTAACCATTGAACCATCTCTCCACCCCCTGTGTAGATTTTTTTTTTTTTTTTTTTTTTTTTTTGGTCTTTTTTGAGACAGGGTCTCCTTGCAGCCCCATCTGTCCTGGAACTCTCTATGTAGACCAGGCTGGCCTTGAACTCACGGAGATCTACCTGCCTCTGCCTCCCAAGTGCTGAGATTAAAGGGGTGCTCCATCACGCCCAGTTCTGTAGATTTTTTTTTAAAGAAGCAAATAAAAGCAAGTCTTAAGTACCATGCCAAACATTGGAGTGTGGTTTATGCTTGATTACCTTCACAGAAATACATGGGGCATGTGTTAATGATTTGTTCAGTGGCAGGAAAACAAAGCATTTATAGCCCACCCCAGTGATTTAATTTATCTTCCTTTTTTCTCTACTGGAATGTTACCAGATTTTCTCCATTTTTGTAGCTTTTGATATAGGTAACTATCCAAGATTTCTTTGTTTTCATTGGTGTTAGTGATCAAACCCAAGGCTTCACACGTGTTTATGAAGTACTTTGCAACTGAGTGGACTCTAGCCCTAGAATATTTCTGAGTAGTTTTCACTGATTATTTTCAGGTGCCTTTTTTTTATATCTTTGCCTATTGGTTGGAGATGAGCTACATTAAAGTGAGAAAGATAAAGATAGTTTTTGAGAAGATTGTCATTGAAAGATATTGAGATACAAGAGTTAATTCTACTGGGTGTGTTGGCTTATCCCTGTAATCCTCGCTAGCACTTGGGAGGCTGAGGCAGGAAGATCAGCTGCTCAAGGTTGTTTTCTGTACATAACAAATTCAAGACTAGGCTGGGATACATGAGACTGTCTCAAAGAATCTAAGAGGCAGGACTAGAGAGATAGCCCAGCAGTTAAGAGTGCTTCCTGTTCTTCCAGAGGACAGGAGTTTGGACCCATGTCAGATGCTCACAACCACCTGTAACTACAGCTTCAGGGTATCAGACACCATCTTCTGGCCTTGACTGGTATCCACACACAGAACATACATTCACACAGACACACACAAAGAAGAAAATGAAAATCTTTAAAAAAAAAAAAAAAGAAGCACTCTGTAATCCTCTGTTTTTCCTGTTTTCCCTTTTGCTCTATAAAATAAAAACAAAAACTATTCTCACTCCACTGGCCCAATGGACCTTGAGGGAGAGGTGCGGAGCCCTTTAAAGAGGAAACAATATGGGACACTCTCTGACCTGTTTATTCAGTCATCTGGTTCTTCACTTGACCCTGCTGGGGAATAGAACTTGGCCTTTGTAACACAAGCACATCCTCACCTCCCTCCTTTCTCATCCCCCCTCTCCCAATTTTCTCTTATGGTTCCAGTTAATGATGTCATTATGTGTGCTATGCAACTGCTGCTGAACCACTTGGCTGTAGGAATTTGGAAATGCAAGGGGGCAAAACGGAATTTTTTTCCTTTTCTGTTCAGGGCTCTTGCAAATGTATTCTAATTTTAACTAAATGGGAGTAGAGTTTTTGATTCACTTGTCCTCCTGCTTTCTTTAATGATAGACCCACACTTTCACTTAATGGTATATGAGAGGAAAAATTAGATAAAGAGGTATTAACAGAAGTATAACAAATACTTTAAAAGTGAAACTTTGGGAATGAGAATGTGGGTCAGTTGGTAGCATGCACGAATCCCTGGGTTCCATCCCTAGCACTGCATAAGCCTGTTATAGTGGGATATACCTGTAATCCTAGTATTCAGGAGGTAGAAACAGGAAGATCAGAAGTTCAGTCATTCTCAGCTACATTGTGAGGCCAGTTTGGGCTATGTGAGAACTCAAACAAAACAAAACAAAGCAAAACAAAAAATCAGATAAAGGGAGGGAGTTTAGAATTTGGGGAAGCAAAGTAGAATTTTAGATGTTGTAATCAATAGTCATAATTGTTACATTGCCTTAAATATAAATAGAATGTTTGAGAAGTTTCTGGTAGAGAGTTCAATAAAGCTACATGATTGATGACTAAGATCTTGTTTATATTATTTTTTATTTTGAAAATTTTATTTATTTTGTTGTTATTTTGAGACAGGGTCTCCCTGTTACCCCAGCTGGCCTGGAACATGCTACATAGACAAGGCTGACCTTGAGCTCACAGAGATCAGCTTTATTTTTTCCACTATGATTTCATTCACTAGAGTTTGATTCCCTTTCTCCAAAGAAAGAAAAATTCTCATCCTTTGCTCAATTCTCTACTTCACTGTCTTTGTATTCCTTCCTCTAACATGTCAGGAGTGATGACTTTGACTAAAAAAACAAACAAGTTTTGGAGGCTGGAGAGATGGCTCAGCAGTTAAGAACACTGGTTGTTCTTGCAGAAGACCTGGGTTTGAATCCCAGCACCCACATGGCAGCTAACAACTGTCTGTAACTCCAATTCTAGGGGATCCAACAGCCTCTTCTGTCCTCCAAGGGCATTGCATGACACGAGTGCACTTATCTACATGCAGGCAGTATACATAAAAATAATAAATATTTTAAAAAACAGAAACAAGTTTTATGACTTGCTGACTTGTTTTGCCCCAAAATTAAACACTTGCCT